ATCTAATTTCTTCATTGTTTAGTTTAAAATTTCCATCTCTACTATACCTTTCTTGCCTTCATACATCTTAGAAGCCTAAGTATTCCTCCTAGCCTAGGGCAACCCCTTTGCTTATGTAGTTGATCTCATTCCTTTCACCATTAACATAACATTGCTTTTATTTTAATAAAATCCATGACTCTATTTTAAACATTTTGATCGAAAGACTGTAATGTCCTAAGCTTTGGTTTATTACTGACCTCACTAACATTTGAGATAGGCTTGTAGAAAGAAAGTTTATCTGTTCAAAAATTTGGCTGTACAGTTTGATCTTTTTAAAAAGAATTTTGTTCTTTTTACTTTCGATTAAAACACATTTATAGTGTTTTTAAAAATGTTTTCCCAGTAAATTTAATTTTTCTTCTTTTTTTTAGTCTTTTTAACTATTTAGTATTTTTCTATATCTCATAGTCATTTTAAAATAGCTGAATTTATCAGGTCATCTTTAGTTCCACATTTTCATAAAATAAATTAATGATTACAATTAATGATGCATGGAAGAGAAATTGCTTTAGAGTTGTTTAAAATTCTACCAGTTCTGGGGAACAGGGGTGAGAGTGCAGATAACACACTGTAGGATCATGGAAGGAAGATAGTGAAGAGAAATTTCCCTGAAAGGTCAGTTAAATATTTCTCTCTTGCAATTTAATGGAAGAAAAGAAAGGTTAATTGGGATAATACACACAGTAAAAATGTGCATAGTTGTTTTTGGTGTTGAGGTTTTTTGTTGTTTTTTTTTAATATTTTTTCTTTATTGATTTCAGAGAGAAAGGAAGGGAGAGGGAGAGAGAACATCGATTGGCCGCCTCCCGCATGGCCCCCACTGGGGATCAGGCCCACAACCTGGGCATGTGCCCTGACCAAGAATCAAAACGGTGACCTCTTGGGTCAACGCTCAAGCAGTGAGCCACACTGGCCAGGCTTTTTCGTTTTGTTTAGTTTTTTTAAATTATTACTGGTCTATATAGAGCAAAATTATAAAGTAATAAATTGACGAGATTACTAAATAATGAGCTTAATATGAACATAGTAGGTCTTTTTGTTAGATTTTAATAGGTGTAAAGTCCTTGGGGGCTGATTTTTAGAGCATAGGTTGCCACTGTTTTAGTCAAGTTTTGGTTAAAAAGCTGTGGGGTGTTTTTTTGTTCTGTTTTGTTTTTCCTATTTATTAACATGAAAAGTATGTGAAACACCTTTTACAATAGAATGTAAAGAGAGTCTTATACAGCCCTGGCTGGTTTGGCTGAGTGGTTAGAGCATTGGCCCACAGACCAATGAGAGAGGGACCGAAACATCAATGAGAGAGAACATCGATTGGCCACCTCCTGCATGCCCCCCCAGTGGGGATTGGGCCCACAACCTGGGCGGGAATCGAACCGGTGACCTGGTTCATGGGTTGACGCTCAACCGCTGAGCCACACAGGCCGGACCATATTTAAGTTTTTATTTTTGTTGTAAATGTAAGTCAGAGTCAAATATTGCCTTAATAGAAGGTGAATACATTGACTTAATTTGTGGAATTTATAGAAATTGAGAGTTGAATGAATGCTTTAAAGTCATTTTTTAATCCTCACCTGAGGATATTTTTGCATTGATTTTTTTTTTTTTTTTTTTTTTTTTTTAAGAGAGAGAGAGAGAGAAACATCTATGTGAGAGAGACCAAGCGATTGACTGCCTCCTGCAGTACCCTTACCGGGGCCAGGGATCGAACCCGAAACTGAGGTACCTGCCTTTGACTGGGAATTGAACCTGCGACTCTGGTTCCTGGGCTGACACTCTAACCACTGAACAACACTGGCCAAGGCTAAAGCCGTTTTTTGCAACTCATCAAATACCTAGTGTATTTCCTGTGTGCCAGTTAAACCAGCTTTCTGGAAGTCATAGTCTAATATAGCTGCTGCTTCACTTCCCCCAGATAGCAATGATATAATCCTCATTATTTTAATTTCCCAAATAGCTATTCTGATCTTTTTCTTCAATGATAATCTCATTTTTATCACTCATTCTCTCCTGCCTGTGTTAACAACTTTCATCTGGTTTTCTACTTTCTAGTCTAATTCCCACCGATGCCAGGATGATCTTTGAAAAACATAAATCTGATCCTGATACTTACCTGTTTGATACCCTTAAAATGATCCCCGTTTATACCATATCCCTTGATACATCATAAAATATCCTTCACATTTTTTTCTGACTTTATCCTTATGCCTTCACCTCACATTCTAAGTTAGTTTATAGACTACTTGTAGTTCCCTGAAGTACTCACATTTACATTTTTTTTCATGCCTTTGATACACTTTTCTCTAGTCGCCATATGGAATATTTGTTCTTTTTAAAATAACAGAAATATTAAAATAAGAATACTTGTCCGGCCCATGTGGTTCAGTGGATTGAGCGTTATCCCATGGACTGAGAAGTCCCAGTTTGATTCCCCGTCAGGGCATATGCCCAGGTTGAGGGCTCAATCCCCAGTAAAGAGCATGCAGGAGGCAACCAATCTGTATATTTCTCTCACATCAATGTTTCTAGCTCTCTGTCTAAAAACTTAATAAAACATATTTTTTATTTTATTTTATTTTATTTTTTTTTATCCTCACCCGAGGACATTTTTCCATTTTTTGTACAGATAGAGTGGGAGGAAGAGAGAGGAAGAGAGAGAGAGAGGGAAACATCGATGTGAAAGGGACACATCGAGTGGCTGCCACCCGCACGACCAACCAGGACCAGGGACAAACTGCAACCGAGGTACGTGCCCTTAGCGGGAACCGAACCTGGGTCTCTCCGGACCGCAGGCCGATGCTCTAACCACTAAGCCAAACCGGCCAGGGCAAAACATATTTTTTTAAAGTTATTTAAGAATACTACCACCAACAAAAGTGCAGGTAGATCATCCATATATAGGTTTTACTTTGTAACATGCATTCTACCTTCATTGACTCATAGTTTTTACAACAACCCTATAAGGTAGGTACAAATAAGAAAACTGAAGCACAGGAAGCATGTGTAACTTGCCTGAGGCCAAGCATCTAGAAAGTAAGTAGTCATAGCAGGTCATGAACCCAGACATTTGATCCTAGAGTCTGTACTCTAAGCTACAACACTACATTGCCTCCTCATGCATAATACTGTCTAAGCATTGCTGCTTCTGGTTTCCTTTTAAGATCTTAACCTCTCCACCTCTCAGGAGAACAGGCTGCTCCCTTGTTTGGATCTCATCTGTATGCACTTAGGGCATGTTATTGCATTTACACTCTATTGCTTTGCTTCATAAGGACTATGTCTTTGTATCTTATCCTTGTATCTCCGTTGTTTTGGCACATACTTAATCACAACAGATGGATAAATGAATGCATAAATTACCACATTTTAAAGGTGGAGGGAGCCTTAGAGGTCACCTCATTTAACCTCCTTATTTTGTAGATGAAGAGCCTGATGTTAAGTGAACATGATGGTAATACTGGATTCTAATGTGGATAATTTACCAAAGTTGAGTTTTAGTACTCGTCTTTGGTGGTTGGTAACCCAGTTAATTTGCTTCAAAGTTCAATCAGAAGAACTGGTTTTATGGTTAATAGAGAGTATGCTAGGTAGTGTTGGCAGAGTCCGGTTAGAGTATAGCATTTAACATGTTCTGTTAATACTGTCTGATTGTTTATAAGCCATATCTGTTGTCATGAAACAGATGACTAGTATCATTCGTTTTTGTAGGTCCTCTGAGTAATGTCAGATGCAGTGGGGCTTTTTTTTTTTTTTTTTTTTAAGAATCTGATTGGGAAGTTGTAAAGGATTTTAATATACGCAACCTTTGAAACCAGTTGGTAAATTTTGAATCTGGAAAATGGATATATGGGGGTTAATGATAATATTCTGTACTTTTTTTTTTGTATATTTAAAACTTTTTAATGATGAAAAATAGGGGGATATAGGGAAAGATTGGGAATAGAGTATAAGATATAAAATGAATGAGGAAAACATGAGAATAAAAAAGTAAATAGAAATAAAGCCTAGAAGTTCTAATCTCTACTTTGGCTATATGAGATTGAAATTTTTATGTGTAAATATAGGTATTTATACAATACACTGTATCTTTTACAGTTTCTTCCTGAACTTATTTTGCTATGAGCAAGTAATTTATGTTTTTTTACTGACTTCATGTAGATAAAATATTTTTCTGATAATTGGCTTTGGATGACTTTATATGTATGTGTAGCTGAAGATCAGTGATAGGAAACTTATACCTTTTATGTTTTTAGCTTCCTAGGAGAAAGAGCCCTAAATTACCTCAGGTTTATTTTTATATAACAGAATAACATAGATAGGATTAGTCACTACTGTATATTGCATTTGTTTTGTAATTATTGTTTTATTACTTCAGAAGTTTAGATTCTTTTACAAGATTCCAGACAGAAGTTAATATGATAGTGGGTAGGGGCTAATAGGTAAGTGTTAGTTATTAGTAACATCTGACTGCTGTTAAATGTGGGCACATGGGTATTTTTTTATAAGCAAATAATTTAATAAAATAGCCTTGTGTAGAGGACACTTGATAACAAAGTATTTAACACTTTTCAGTTCTTAAAAATATAATTGTTAGGAAGTGGACATAATATATGATTTTTTTACCCTGGACGGTTTGGCTTAGAGTTTAGAGCGTCAGCCTGCGGACTGGGTTTCATTCTGGTCAAAGGCATCTACCTTGGTTGCGGTTTGATCCCTGGCCCTGGTCGGGGTTGTGTGGGAGGCAGCCGATTGATGTGTCTCTCTCACATCTATGTTTCTCTCTCTCTCCCTCTCCCTCCTTCCCTTCCACTCCATATCAAGAACTCAATGGAAAAATAACCTTGGGTGAGGATTAAAAAACAAACAAACAAAAAAGTTATGCTTTTTTTTTTTAATCTGTGTTAAGATTTTGATTTAAAATGTATAGAGTTAATTATATTAATACTCTTTCTTATTTCAAGGGTTCTGATGACTGTCTTGTGAAAATCTGGGCAACAGATGATGGCAGGTTATTAGCTACTTTAAGAGGACATGCTGCTGAAATATCAGACATGGCTGTAAACTATGAGAATACCATGATAGCAGCTGGAAGTTGTGATAAAATGATCCGAGTCTGGTGTCTTCGAACATGTGCACCTTTGGCTGTTCTTCAGGGCCACAGTGCATCAATAACGTCACTACAGGTAGTTGTTTTAATTCTTCTAATATCCTTTTTTATTATAATTTAAAGTAAATTTTAAGAAGTTATTTTTATAATTCATTGTATAAAGCCTACTAATACAAAGGAATATTTCTGCTTTCTTTATAAATTCATGGCTTTAAATAACTTGGTAGTCATGACCTTTATCAATAATGGGCATTGTCTGTTATTATTGCTATTTGTGTGGTAAAAAATGGGTTTATTATTTGGACTATGTCACTCTTGTAAAGTTACTTTTTTTTCTTTGATTGTTTTTCAGTTCTCACCTTTGTGCAGTGGCTCAAAGAGATACCTGTCTTCTACTGGGGCAGATGGCACTATTTGTTTTTGGCTGTGGGATGCTGGAACTCTTAAAATAAAGTCAGTTGCTCTTTTATTTCACAGATGCAACATTAAAAGCATAAATGTGTTTAGTGGTTGAAATTGCAAAGTTATAAAGTAGTTGACAATAGAAATACATTTACTTTTTCTCCTTGAGTTAATAACAGAAAATCATTTGGGCTCTCAATGACCTCTTTTATTCTCATGCTTTCTTTTTCAGAGAAAGTTTTCTCTTGTTAACATGTCTGTTTTTCTCTTATTTTTTAAATTTATTTTTATGGATTTTAGAGAGAGGAAGGGTGCAGGAAAAAGGGATAGAACCTGATGAGAAAGAAACATTGGTCATCTGCCTCCTGCTCACCCCCCTACTGGGGATCAAGCCTGCCACCTGGCCATGTGCCCTGACCAGGAATCAAATCAGTGACCTCCTGGTGCATGGGATGACACCCAACCAACTGAGCCACTCGGCTGGGTTCTTTTTTCTCTTATCTTTATCCTAGCCCTAGCTCTTTTTTTCAGACTATACTTGTCTTATCACTCCTTGTTTCTATATGCTACACAGTTTATCTGAATAGCTCCTTCTGGTGCTGAGAACATTATTGTATAATTCATAGGCTCTTCTTTAGAACAATTATAATTATTTGTTACCACATCTATAAACTTTAGATTTTATTGTGTATCTAAGGAAACGTGGTAAAATAGAATCATTACATTTTCAGTAGGTAGATACACCCTCTCTTTTGGAGGTTTTTGCATTTGTGCTTTCAAATATTACCTTGGTTTATCAAAACAAGTTGTTTGGACAATATTATTTTTCAATGAAGGACAATGAGGCAAAGAAAAGTTAAATGACTTTCCCATGGGTAAAACAGTTTTTAAAAATGGCAAGGCCAGGACTAGCACACTTCCTTGCCCCTTGATCCTTCACTGTCTAAGCCATGCCATCGCTCAAGTGGATGTAGTGGGGATAGGAAGTGCTCTCTTTATTCCATAGATAGTCTGTGAATGGGGAGGTAGTACATCCAGTGTTTCCAGTGTTGAAATGGCCATCTCTGCTCTCAGGATAGAAAGTCATTCAGATTAGAAAGTTTATCTCAGTGATTATCTCTTTTGTTCATAAAATATCAAAGCAAATTAGTTATTTAATAAAATAATTTGTGCACATTGTTCTTTTCAAACAGAAGTGTTTAAGTAAACTTCATGTGTATGGACATTCCTTTAGAGTGCCTCTTATAACAAACAGGGCATTAGGGGACCATGGCAGCTTGCGTAATGTAATAAAACAAACTACTTTATTTAAAAAAAAGGATTGTGATCAAAGACATGGTTCTTTGGAGAAAGCAAATTGATTTCACTGTAGTTGCATTATTTAGAGTATTAAAGGATTTTGTAGACATTTAAATGAAAGTTGAAATAGTTTACTGATATATATGGACAGTAACAACAGTTATTTGTTGTTTTCCATGGTATTTTTATTTACCTTCCTTTGGATCTGATTGGGATACCTTTGTCTTTTTCTGTCTTGTTTTTATAGAGAAGAAAAAGTGATTAGTGATCTTAAAATTAGTATAGGAATAAAAATGGTATTACAAAGTTAAACTCTTAACTTTGTGCTTCTTCAGAATTACATTGCTAAGTATAATTATACTTATCTGTATACTTGAATGTGTTATTCCACATGAATGTGTTATTTTTCCCTAGAACGTTTATATAGAGTTACCCATAAACCCATTACCTTAATTTTTTTAATAAAAATTTTGTTTCAAAATTTAGATGTAAGTAGGGAAATACATGTAATTTTCTATTGTTTCTTTTAAAACAGTTTATCATCACCCTGGCCGGTTTGGCTCAGTGGTTAGGGCATCAGCCTACAGATCGATGAGTCGAGAGTTTGATTCTGGTCAAGGGCACGTACCTTGGGTATGATTCGTCCCTGGCCATGGTTAGGGTCATGCAGGAGGCAACCAGCCGATGTGTCTCTCTCACATCAATGTTTCCCTCCCTCCCTTACTCTCTCCCTCCCTCCCTTCCACTTTATCTGAACAAAAATGGGAAAATATGCTCTGTTGAGGATTAAAAAAAATAAAAGTTTATCATAGCCATTTATAATAATTTCAATAGTCACATTATAGTATATTCCACAGAATTGTTATTAACGATTTTTTTTATTTTTAGACATTCAAGTTTTTCTAATTGTTTATAAATAGTATTCTACTTGTTATGACAATTTTTCCTTAAACACTTTTAACTTAGAGTCAGGCATAAAAATAAGAGTAATTTTTCCATAGATATAGGGACACTTAACTGTCTTTTCTGTATTACATATAGTTAATAACTGCCAGAATATTTGGAAGGACTTAAATGGTCATATTTCTATCATAGGCTTTAATTACTAATCAAAGGCAAAAATTGTATTGAGCTGTAATGCTTTTTTGTTAATCCTCACCTGAGGATATTTTTTCATTGATTTTTAGGGAGGGGGAGAGAGAGAGAGAAAAAAAAACATTGATTGGTTGCCTCCCGCACGACCCTGTTCGGGTCTGGGGAAATCAAACCTTCAACCCAGGTGCATGCCCTTCACTGGGATTGAACCCAAAACCCTTTGGTCTGTGGGCCGATGCTCTAAATGCTGAGCCACACCAGCCAGGTCTGTAATGCTTTTTTGTACAAGTGACTTCAGCAAACCCTCTCTGCATTAATTGAAAGACTCTGTTCTGAAAAACCAAATCTCTTGATAAATTCACTTTTCTATAGGGTTTATATATATGGTAACAACTCCCTCTAGGAAAGATGCTGCTTCTTAGGTGAGTAATCTGAGTGGTTGGGAGACTCAGAAGCTGGCTAAAGAGATCTCTGGGTAGGAGAAAGCTGTCCAGGCATATGTAAATTAGATGTCAGGCATATGTACATTAGATGTAAAGAGAGAATTGGAATCTTGAAATATGCAGATAATAATGATGATGTCCAATTATTATTAAGTGCTTAGTCTGCCAAGCTAGTCCCAAGCACTTTACATTTGTTATATCATTAATCTTTATGGCAACTCTATGAAGAAAGGTATGTTACTATCTTGAAGACAGAGGTAGGGAGAAAACTGAGGCGGATACTGGAAGTGTAGTGTCAGAATCCGCTCTTAACCACTGTGCCAAACTAAATGGCAGTTATTCATTGATGGAGTGTCTACAACTGATTGACCCAATTAAAAATATTAATACTAGTATTTATGTTGGGCCAGCACTAAGCACTTAACATGGATTATACTCATTTAATTGTCTCAGCAACTCTGAGATATCTTCTCTTTTTTTACCCCCCATTTTACATTGAGGAGTCCGAGGGACACAAATGTTAACTTGCCTAAGATCACACACCTGAATAAGTGGCAGAGCTAGGAATTGAACTCAGTCTTGAGTCTAAGGCCTTGTCTTAAATAGTTCTTCAAGTATACACTTAAAAATAAATTATTTGTACCTGTTTATCTGTTTTTTTCTCTTTAAAAATATTTAAGTCCATTTAAAATGGTGTTCTATATGATTATTTTCATATTCTGAATATGAGTTCTAATTAAATGGTTGTTTGTCATTAATATGAATGATTGTGCCAAAAATTTTTTTAAATGTAAAACTATGATCCATAAGATATTAAGGAAAGTTAGCACATTATTTGCCTTTATAATTTCAGATTAATTTACTTAAGTTACAATTACTTTAAGTTTATTCTGATAAATATAGGTTTAAAGGGTGTTTTAATAACTTTCAGTTTACCTAAATTGTATTTATTATACTCAACTAATCAGAGCCTGTAGATATTAAAAATTGTTTAAAATGTCAATTTAAAAAAAAAATTTAACAAAGACTTTGTGCTGTGTTCTATATCGGTAACAAAGAGTTCTAATAACAGACATTAGTATCAATAGTATTAATATGAGATTTATAATCTAATGCAGTTGCACAATTAATGCAAATTTAGTTGTGTGTGACCTATTTTCTATAGATCATTATTTTGAATGAACATTTTAGTTGACAATGAGTCAAATAATCTGAAGATTTTTTTCTAGGATAAATGTAAGATTCTTAAATTTTGGAGTTTTATAAGATATGTTTTGTCACATTAGAAGATAAACAAGGGGAGATGTTTAATCAACGTGTAACATCGAAAAACTAGTTATTGATGGTATACATATGTCACAGAGGCAACACCTACTTTGTTTGTATGTCCATGTTTACAAATGACTTCTTTATGTATTTGTACATTGGTGTTCTATCAAAAACTGAGAAACTGTTAAATTTGATTGGGAGTGGATATAACTAAAACCTACATGTCTAGGTGTGACATGGCTTTGGGATTGTTTTATGTGTAGATTGTTGTGTAATCAGGAGCTTCTACAAAATCTGATTGTGATAACAATGATTTCAAACTTGTTTTTAAGGAAGGGAGCCATCTGTTGCTTCTTACTGAATTTTGTCCTTCTGTGATTATTTTTTGAAACAGCAGATTTCTGGTGTTGCTATTCCCTTTGGGATATTTTTAATTGTTTATTTTTTGTATTGTAGTCCAAGACCTGCAAAATTTACAGAGCGCCCTAGGCCTGGAGTTCAAATGATCTGTTCTTCTTTTAGTGCTGGTAAGATGTTTTTCTCCCTTGTTTTCCACATAAGTTATACATTAGAATCTTTCCTGGATATTATACCAAGGTATGGCAAAAGTAGGTTTACGGTTTGTGTGGAAACTAATACAATAATTAATAAATAATAATACAAGAATAAACTGTTTCATTTACCCACGCTGTAAACCTACTTTTACCTCAACCTGTATTTTCAAAGGTAGTTATCTGCTTGAAGTAAGCTCTGCCTTGGAAAGTTCTCTGCACTGAGTAATTTGTGTGCAAAATGGTAGATAATGTGACTGACTCATGAGCAAAAGCTTTTAATGTACACTGTATGTAAAGACACAGAAACCTTTGTTTTAGAGTTGAGAAAGGTGATAGAGATGTTGATTAAACGCCAACATTTTCATGGATTAGAGAAAATAAATTTGTTAAGCCACAGGACATGAAATTTGTGGCATTCTGAGACAAAGACACCATCAGGGTCCCTGACTTCACTTACAGTACTTTCATGGACTGAATGTTTTTGTCCCCCTAATCCCATGCTGGCACTCTTATCTTAGACTTCTCAGCCTCCAGAACTCTGAAATATAGATGTCTATTGTTTTGTTTTGAAAGAAAGAGGAAATAAGCCAGCTTATAGTGCAACACAATTTTGGAAAATATTTACTATTGTAATATAAATTATATTCTTAAACATATGCCAAGGGATGAAAATTAATTTAGAAATATTTTACGAGTGTATTTTATATACTCTCATAACTAATATTTTTCTTTAAGAAGATTATGCTATAGTAGGAGAGAATAAATAGTTTCAAAATTTACTCTGTTAAGGAATAAATCTTTGAGTAGTTATCTTGCTGTAAGAAAAATACTTTAAATCTGCTTTATATTTTCACGGAATGTGGAAATATCCCATAGCTAAGTAAAATATATTAGATTGAAATTTGTACAACTTTATTAATATGGTTTTTATTTGCTCTTTAGGAATTAGCTGTACAACAATGCTGCCATTCAAATTAAGCTTTGAGTTTATGCACCAACATTTTGAATGGATATTAGAGTCTTTTTAAACAAATTATGATCTTCAGATTTGAACTAAATTGATGAGAAAAAGAAATTAAACAAGAATAGATTTAATACTTATGTTCCTGGTACCAGTTATTTCCACATTTATTTCCAGTTCTACTTTATCTTTTCATTTCATAATTGTGGATAGCATTACTACCTGAGATAAGGGATTGCACACTGATGACTTGAATGTATTTTTGCCATGTATTTTATCAATATCCAAATATTTTTAATTTCTGACTTCTCAGTTTCTACTGTTACTTCCATGAAGACAGTTTTCCTCTAGTAATAAAACAATTGTGGGCACTATACATGTGTTCAAAGTACTCTAAATGTATTTATATATAGCACTGTTTTCAACACTGGGAGAGGAGTGATTCCAAGGAGAGAGTAAATTGAATCTATAAATAACTGTAGTGGAAAGTAGAATGTATGTGCTATATGACAAAGTCTTAAAGAGTTCAGAGGAGAACAGAACTTTGAAAGACATCTTACTGAAGGAGTTGGACCCTAAAAGTTTAATAGAATTTTAACAGATGGGCAGTGGGGCAAGAAAGGGATTTGGGGAGTTAAAAAGCATGTTTTCTAGTGAGGATGACTGTTAATTGAACATAAGAGTATGTAATCATTTAGTGAAATTATTTGTAGTGGAAGGCTTTTCTTCCGAGTCAAAACTATGTTAGCAAACTTCTTGATTAAATTCAGATTAAAGTATTAATCATTTAGTATATATTGTGATAATGTTTGCATTGCAGTATTTAATTTTGAAATTGTGTTTTACTCATAAATGTTTGCTGTTATTCTTCAGGTGGAATGTTCTTGGCCACAGGAAGCACAGACCATATTATTAGGGTTTATTTTTTTGGTTCAGGTCAGCCAGAGAAAATATCAGAATTGGAGTTTCATACTGTAAGTATTGGTGAAACGAATTAGATGAGTACAGTTTAAATGAGTCTAACAGTTTATTTTCAGGATCCTCTTTTTTGTTTATCTGTTTATATATAGGACAAAGTTGACAGTATCCAGTTTTCCAACACTAGTAACAGGTAAAATAATTATTTTTGTTAAATTTAATTCCAATTTTAGATTGTGAAATAAAGACAATTTTTGTAGTCATATTTTAATTAGAATTGTATATGAATTAACCACCTAAAATGAAGATCTTGAAAAGTGTATATAGCATTCACATGCAAACATTCTTTGTTTTACTTGTAATGTTAGTTTAGTTGGCCATTTTTAGTAATAGGGACTTTTATTCACCCTACATATTTCCTGTACATATCAAAGTAAAAGTAAACTTTTATTAGAGATTGGAAATGTATCACACTTAATATTTGGGGCAGAACTATTTTTCCCATGTTCTGGTTTTAAAATGAAACAAAAGTATTTCTAAGAACCTTTAGTAGAACAAGTCAAGGTCATTAATATTGAGAGAAAAGTCAGTAATTTTCTATTGGAAAATATCAATTATATTTCTGAGGTGCTAAATAGTGTGTAAGTAAAGATGAGTGCTGTCTTTTTGAGTATTTTTAAAAACATAACTCTGGGAAAGTTTATTTTGGGTAATGGATGTGTGATTTTTATTTTGGCAATGGGCTCCTTTTAATGCAGGTTTGTAAGTGGGAGTCGTGATGGGACAGCCCGTATTTGGCAATTTAAACGAAGAGAATGGAAGAGCATTTTATTGGATATGACTACTCGTCCAACAGGGTAACTAATCAAATTTTAAATAATACATAATACATAAATCGATCATTTAAAGTCTACTATATAGCAGGTTGGTGTGACTGTCAGCCTATAGAAGTATATATCATCTGTTAAAATTAAGATTTCTTTATGACTAGAGGTGCTACTGGAGATGAAAGGCTTTAATTTTTATAAAATGATTTATGCAGTATCTGAGATGCTTTATTAGACCTGCTGATTTTTTTTCAGTTTTGTTAAGGCAATGGTAGTGCTATAAGAATAGTTTTAAGTTTTCACTAGTTTTTTAAAAGCAGAGCATATTATAATGTTACATATGTTACAGAGGGATGATGTGGTCTATCCAATGATTTCCTCTAGCCGAAAGAAATTATATTACACCTTGTAACTGTTATTTTGGTTTTAATATTTTATCATTTGTTTTTATTTGTATTTATGTATAGTAGTCTTGGATGAGAGCACAGCCAGTTAGTTAGCAGGGCATGACAGTAACATTAAAAGATAGAGAGAAGCCTGACACAGAGTTCCTGGGTCCAGTTAGAGTTAAAGCAGTGATATTTACTCAGTCATTTTGAGTGCTAGAATCCTAGGTTTGCTGACTTAATGCAGTGATTTTTGCCATCATCCTATGTTTATTCAACCTATTTATTTATTTATTTATTTATTATCCTCACTAGAGGACATTTTTCCATTTTTTGTTCAGAAAGAGAGAAACATCGATGTGAAAGGGACACATTGAGTGGTTGCCAACCGCATGACCCAGCCAGGGCCGGGGACAAACTGCAACCGAGGCACGTGCCCATAGTGGGAACTGAACCCGGGTCTCTCTGGACCTCAGGCCGATGCTCTAACCACTGAGAAAAACTGTCTAGGGTGATTCAAATTATTCTTTTAAAAAATGTTTGTTTTTTTAATTTATTTTAGAGAGATGAGAGGAGAGAGAGAGATAGAAACATTGATGAGAGAGAACATAATTGGCCGCCTCCTACATGCCCCCCACTGGGGATTGGGCCCACAACCTGGGCATGTGCCCTGATCAGGAATCAAACCGGTGACCTCTTGGTCCATGGGTCGATGCTCAACTGGTGAACCACACCAGCCGGCAATTCAAACTGTTCTTAACTGCTAAGTGATCGTTATGTTAATGAATATAAATTATATAAAAATACATTTAGGTTTTTGTCATACTGGTATTTTAATTAATAGTGTCAGTATAAACAAATACTGCCTCTATCACTTTTCAGTCAAAACCTTCAAGGAATAGAAGATAAAATCACAAAGATGAAAGTAACTATGGTGGCATGGGATCGACATGACAATACAGTTATAACTGCAGTTAATAACATGACTCTGAAAGTTTGGAATTCTTACACCGGTCAACTAATTCATGTCCTGATGGTGAGAAAATGGGTTAATTTTTATTTGGTATAATTAAAACTGATTTTAGAATGGAATACTTTTATTAAGGAATAAAGTCTTATGTTAACTAAAATCTCTAACTTGCTAGATGGATAACACATCTTTGCCAGAGATTTGAAATACTTTTAAAATTTAGTTTAATTGATTTGGCTTAGAAATATAGATCTTTGCAGCTTTTTAGTGTGTAGGGCCACATCAATAGTATTTTCAGGCTTCACCAAATTATAGCAAAACCCTTGAGTGAGATTTGCTCAGCTTCATTATTATATGTAGATAAATATGAAGAGTTTGTCACTTTACTAATTCTTAAAACTCAGAACTTCGAGCCCTGGCCAGTTTGGCTCAGCAGTTGAGTGTGGGCCTGTGGACCAGAGAGTCCCGGGTTCGGTTCCCGCTAGGGGCACGTGCCGCAAAAAAAATCTCAGAACTTTGAAATGTTTCCATGTTGGTGTTTGATTGGATTTCCTTTTTTAATGATTATAATTCTTTGCTATTTCAAAAATGTTTTAGGGTCATGAAGATGAGGTATTTGTTCTTGAACCACACCCATTTGATCCAAGAGTTCTCTTTTCTGCTGGTCATGATGGAAACGTGATAGTATGGGATCTGGCAAGAGGAGTCAAAATTCGATCTTATTTCAATATGGTAATTATCAGTCTCTTTACAGCTATTAAAAATTTGGGGACTTCTTGATTCAGGTACTCTGCACATCACAAAGGAAATCCATTTAAGAATATATTCAGACATTATTTTGATTTTAAGTTTAAAATGTTTCTTATTCCACAGTTTTATTTAGATGATACATTTAAAGGAAAATTAATTGTGCATGTTATAATACATGAATATTGTGAGAAGTAAGCTAGATTTTAAAATAGTTTTAACAGTGAAACTTTGAGAAACTCGCAAGTATGAAGATACAGTATAGTTGAGATAAAAGTTTGGAAAACTATGGGAAGAAATTATAAATAAATGTATTGTGTTATTTTACTTTATCAGTAGTCCTTTAGTACAGCAGAATTTAATTAAAATACACACATTTTAAAATTAAAGCCAAAATGTCAGGCATTCTTTTCTTTTATCAAATTATAGTATGTTAGATATTTATTTGAGATTAGCATTTTTTCCTTCATATTTTGCTGCTTATGTAGATTTTAAGTGTATTTTGCTAAATATTTGAATTACAGTGGTTTAATATCCCATACATCTTATTCTGCAGTTTCCATTTCTCAACCACTGTTTGAAGTGCTTCTTAAATACTACTAGTTGCATTTTTTTCACTCTACTTCCTATATATCAGTGATACCTTTTAACAACAAAAACAAAAAGAAAAATGTGTGTCTATTTTGGCATGTTTAGATTTTTAAAAAAATCAAGGATAGAAATCTTTGGTAATAAATCACAAAACAATACAATTAATATTGTGTGTAGTATCTTATTTCCCAAAAATTATTGTTTCACCAGTTTTGTGAAATAAAATAGTTTGTGAAAAAATTTCATGCAAATGATACCATACTTGATTGATAATCATAGCAAAGTACCTCTTGTCGAGTAAGGAAGTCATTAGTAAAAACAATTTGAAGGAGGAGTAAGCAGAAGATAAAAGGAGTTTTTATTAATAAGGTATTAACTGTGGCTGTCTTTATTGATATGCCTTAGTGTACAATAAAATAAGAAATAAGATTTGTTGAGTTCTTATTTTTCTAAAGCAGTGTTAATTTGGGGTACAATTGTTAGTGATGGATGGATTTCCTTAGTGATTATATTTATAGAGAAGATTTCTTTAAAAAGCAAATCTTTAAATATGTTGGTAAAAACATTTTCACCTCATTCTTGTGTTTCTGGTTTGCTTCTGTTTGGGACATCTCTGTTGAAGGAGGAAATTAATCATTTCTTAATTTGTCTTTATAGTTTCAAAAAACAATTTTTGGCCTATGCATGTATTAAGTACTTAGTAATTTTGTATTTTCAAAGGGCATTGGTATTTAAGTAGAGTGTTTAGAGGGAATGTTTTTCTCATACTTGAGTATTCCTTTCACCTTTAAATTATAAAGGTGAATTTTTTCTCATCAGGTAAGTCAGTCACACTAATACTCCACTCTATCAGTAGATACAAAAATTACAGCACTTTGCGATTGAAATGATTTACTCTTAGACCATTACAAATTAGTAATTCTGGAGTAGAAGTCACCTATATTATATTTTGTACCCTTTGAAATTAGCTGAGGGGTAAGTTACATTACTGCCTTAAAAATTATTTATTGTTTAATAAGTGTTTTAGATAAGGATATTTTTCCTGCTCTTTTTGAATAAGAAATTAAAAGCCTTTAAATGGCAGAAGAAACAAATTTATGTAATAAATAGAATTGGATAGAATCCATAGATTCTTCAAATTCTGAGAAAAATAAAACTAAAAGGATAAAAAAATATAACTTCATTTAACAAAACAGAAAATGAGCTAATCTTTTTCTCATTAACATAAAGAAAGATACGCTTTAATTTTTTGGATGATTTTTAAAGGCGTCAAAATGCTTCTACACATTACCTTATTTGTGTCTCATGTAAACCTTGTAAGATAATCAGGGTAGATTTTGTTATTACTGGTTTTGTGAAAGGAGAAACTACAGAGATAAGTGCTTACTTAGCCCAGGTTCTGCTAGGTCACACTGCTATTTTATGTGAACGTGGGATTTAAACCTATGTTTTTCTGTCCTTTGTTCATGTGTTCTTAATGCTGACTCTAGTTGTGTTTAGTTGTTGCACTGCTAACTTCCAACTCCACTCAGTTAGTGATGTGTGCAATGGGAAAGTGTTTTCCAAATGATGTTAACTCCAAGTAGATCTTTTAAGATACAATTTAGCTTGATGATTTTTTTTTCCTCTCTTAATTTTGTTATCAAAGTGCCCTAGTTTTTCCTCCTTAACTAGTTTTTTAAAAATTATTATTGTTTGTTTTATCTATGGGCAGATGGAAGATAAAGCATCCAGCATTGCTATTAAGAAAAAACAATTTGAGGGAGGAGTAGAAGCTTTTGTTCACTGTCTGCTATAATCAATATTGAATTTTGGCTGTCGTCATAATTATTTGGCTCTCTGTAGCTAATAAGTAACCTTTGGTGTTACTGAAATACCATAAAAGTTAATCCAGTACAAATTCATTCCCTGGTGATTAAATTGGACTAGGAATCATAAATTCAAATTAGTAAATATTTTATTGTGCCTTAGAGGTACTAGTTATGGTGAAAGTTTAAATGAATAATATTTTGGCTCTTGTCAATGTGGCTCAATGGTTAGAGTGTCGGCCCTCAAACTGAAGAGTTGCGAGTGCGATTCCTGGTCAAGGCCAGCACGTACCTGGGTTGCAGGGTCCATGCCTGGCCTGGTTGGGACATGTGCAGGAGGCAACCAGTTGATGTGTCTGTCTCACATCGGTGTTTCTCTCTTTCTCTCTCTCTCCAGCCTCCCCACCCACTCCTACTCTCTCTAAAAGCTAATGGAAAAAATATTCTTGGGTGAGGATTAACAACAACAAAAGATTAATGTTTTGTGTGAGTTTAAAAATCAAAATTACAACATGAATAAGTAAATTCACCATTAAACCCACGGTCAGAAAACAAGGAATGTAAATTGTGCCTTTATTTATTTATTTTAAATATATTTTTATTGAATTTTAGGGAGAGGAAGGAAGAGAGAGAAACATCCATCAGCTACCTCCTGCATGCCCCCTACTGGGGATGAAGCCAGCAACCTAGGGCATGTGCCTGGGCCTGGAATTGAACCAGTGACCTCTCCATGCATGGAATGATGCTCAACCAACTGAGCCACACCAAGCAGGGCTAAATTGTGCCTTTAAAAAAACAAAAATTTTATGTACAAATTCTTTAAAAATACAGGTTTTTATCAAGTATATTTTGAGAATACCGTTTTAATATTAATTCCCTTTTTTATGATCATTGAATTTTTTATTTGAAATTTATACCTTTGTAAAAGGTAATGAGGTCATGTAATAAATATTTTGTATTCATCAGTATTTTTATTGTACTTTTCTTATTTAATGCAGAAATTAAAATTGTTTTTTGAAATTTTAGAAATAGTAAAAATCTTGTATCCAAAAACCTTTTCGAAGTGAAAGGTTGAATTTTTAAATGCCTATGTTTGATATATAATAATTATATTTTAATAAATAAATTTTAATACATTTAATTAATTTAAAATATTGAGCCATTAATTTTTTAATATTGCACTGATATTCATCATTCAGATATTCTAATTTTTTTTCTGAAGCAAGTTGTGACTGCGCTTTTTAAAATCTTATACTTTATTTTAGCACCCAAATTTATAAACAAAAGGTTTGAGATTGAGAATTGAGGTAAAGCTATTTAATACCTTGTATGCTTACATAACACTCTAATTTATTTCATTTTCAAATCTTATAGATTCTCAACTTGTTAGCCATATTGTCTATAAAAAGTGATGGAGTCATTTTTATTATTTTTACTGCTAGCTTTGTTTGTAACAGAGGATCTAAATACAAATAGTAAAAGCAATTGGAGAATGGATGTTGGGTTTTGTTACTTATAAAAAGTAAGTGACATAGGGTATGAAATGGAATAGCTAATACATATTTCTTGCACTCTTCCCCTTGTCTCACCTTTAAAAATGAAATAATCTATAAAAGCCTTTATTGGAAAAGTATAATATATAAGGTAGAAACTTGGAACCATTTCTTTTAACGAACCAAAGAAAGAAGCTAAAGAGAATATTGTTGAGAAGGTTAAGAAGATAAGACAAATTTATTCTTTTAAACAAACAAACAAACCTGAATTCTAGGCCTTAAGCTTTACTTATATACATTCTTTTAAAAACTATGTAAATTATTCATGTTTCAGCTAAACAGTCCTTATATAACTTGAGTGTTCAGGGCAAAAGGAGAGTATATTTGGATATTCTATTGAAAGCTGATTGTGTATATTAAGAATATTCTTAACTCTTTGGATATAGTTAGCAGGTGCATATATTTGAGTTTGGTAGTGGCAGGAAGATAAACAGTATAGCTTTGTTTTGACGAGAGTTGTTCTAAACTCTAGTTTAAAGGCTCTAAATTCCAATTAATGGCTGGGGTGGGGGAGATAAATTAGTCCCAGAAATAACTTGAAAATGTATGCAAATTCACGGAAGTGAAGTTGAGAGCTTTTGTAATATTTTCATTCCCTGAAAGAGGTAGGCAAGTTTAGTTTATATAACCATATATGTCCTTATATTTACAAAGTTGCTCTATAGCCCTTTTTCTCTTAAATTATCACAGTACAGCTAAGTTTTAACTACAAGTTTAACTAAATGAATATTAAATTTATTTAAAAAGATACGAACAGAGACTTTTAAATTTCTTAGAACTAGGCCATTTGATAATTGGATGGTAAATAAAAGATGTTTGGATTGGGATTTGTAGATTCCATATTAGTAGTTTTCCTCTTGTGTCTGGCGCTTTTGCTTTATCTTTCCTGCTCTCTTTCATTATATCTATTGTTCTAGCTGTATCTATGAATCTCTTTTTCTCTCATGTCTATTTTTGTCATGTTATTCAAAGCTCTTTTCTGGTTGCCTCTTGTTTGGTTCTGATTTTAACTGAAGAGTACAATATGTCTTTT